CTCTAGCCTGGGTGACAGAGTGAAACTCTGTCAAAAAAAAAAAAAAAAAAAGAAAGAAAAGAAATAAAGAAAGGTAAAAGAAAGACCGGTCACATATCTGCCGGCCACGGAAGAACACTGGCACAGCACCCAGAACAACAAAGTCAACCCAGGAAAGACGGTCTGTCCAGAGTCTAGAAAGGGGAGAAGTCCCCACCCACAGCCTGCCCAGGGAGGGCCCCCACCCGCTGCGTCCAGGGCCACCACAGCAAGCAGAAAACACCACAGTAGCTGCAGTGACCAGGTACCCACTGCATGCCTGCACCGTGTAGGATGTCCAACCTGTCGCTAATCCCCATGACGCAGGTGAGACATCAGGTGCCAAGTGAGGCTGAGTCTCCTAACCGCCTCCCTGTGGAGACCCCTGGTGTGGAAGATACTAGAAAAGGCACAAAGGCCCAGGCAAAGGGACGGTGAGGAAGGAGGAAATCTGACAGTCCTGCAAACAGGACTTGGGACACAAATGCTATCAGCCGGCTGCACACAGCAGGCTGTGGAATGCAGGGCGTGTGACTGATACTGGGCCCCTGCCCTTTTGTTCATAGCCTTAAGGACTCACGAGGAATCCCAAGAAGAACATGGATATGCTGCATATCACTAACTAGATTTCTTTAAAATAATGTGTTTACTGGCACCAGAAATCTTTATCTGTATGTTCTTTCCAAACATTCTATCTGTGCGATCTTTGCTTTGACCTTGAATGCCTTTCTCTGCAATAAAGAGAGGTTTGGAGAGGCACAGGAGCTCTTTGAAACAAAGAGTCTCTCCTCCTCCTTCAGCCTGAGACTGTGGTCTGGAGCGTCCTTTGTTGCGCCGTGACACTGGTAGAGATGCTGGACAATCTCTACAACCCTGGAAACAGTCTCAACGGGGCCCCGAGTGGGACCAAGGGAAGAAAGAGCCCCCTGGCTCGCCCTCAAGTCCCAGGACAGCAAGACGCGATGCTGTACAGTGCAGATGGCACGGGGGCACAGAGACAGACGCCAGATGGCACGCCAGGGCTCCCCCAGCCGTGTGACCTGGAATAAACGTGCTCCAACTTCCTCACGTGTCTGATGCAGCTTGTTCTAAGGGCCAAAAGATGCGTAGGCCTTGAGCAGGGCTTCCTGGCCTGCAGTAATCGCCATGGAACTGCTTCTGACATCAAAGGCCAACTCTTCCCAAACGAACACACAGGCCCGATGTAACTCTCCCCAAAGTCCCGGCAGGCTTTGGCACTAGATGGAGTCGGGACAGAGGCAATCTGGGTGTGTCAATAGATAGACACAGCCAAGAAATGTTTTAAAAAGAAAGGCAACAAAAGGATATAAGAACTTCAAATCTACTACAAGGTTATAATTATTAAGACAACGTAGGTAAAAGAAAATACAGGTATCCATAAGAGTTACCACAGAAAGAAACCCTTTGCCCAGAGAATTCAGGTCACTGGAGCACCATGGTCACAAGTCACTAGGGAAAAGGGCCCTGTTGCATAAATTCACAGGCAGGATCTCTCGTGTCACAAGGCTATTTCTACAGAGAAACATTCCCAGGAAGCAAAATAGTCTTGTCCAGCCAAACCAGTTCAGTACCAGGGGGTCCAACTGCTATGCCCCTACTGCCCCTCCAGGAGCTCCACTCTGGGTGGGTTCAGAGAGACATCAGCTCCCACCCACCACCCTGCCCACCTACGGCCCCTCCACCTGGAATGCCATCCTACCCAGCACCCAGCCAACACAGCCCCCAGAGCCCCTTGCTTCCCTGATCACCCCACACCACACAGGGACAGCGACACCCTCACTCCATCTGCCAGCACCAACAGCAAGATGGCTGGGACACAGGGCAGCGCTCTCCAGCCCTCTTCTACGTGACCGCCTGCTCCACCAAGAGCCTAGACCAGGCCAGCCCCCAGGGGTGACCCAGGGTGGCGGAGCAGTGGGTTCCTACCTGGCAGGAGGAAAAGCGGGCCGCCGTAATCACCCGCCCAGTGCCCATCCTCAGCCTGCAGCCCCACGTAAAACATCATCCCGTTCAGAGCACCCTCGTGGGCCGTGTGGGCTTTGGGCAAGTCCTTAAAGTAACTCTTCTGTGAAGAGAGAAAAAAATATAGCTGAGGGGGCCTGTTGCCCAGCCGGAGGAGCCCTCCTCACTCACAGTCCAACTCAAAAGAGTGAATCTAAACCATTAATACTTTGAAAGTTTCAGCTGCTTCAATCAAAAGTCTGAAACTTTGATGACAGTGTCACACCTTGGCAAAGTAAATGGACAGTTCCACGTTCTCTTGGTTTCATTTTCCAGTCACCAGCTTGCAAAGTTCTTCACAACTTCTCCACGATGTCTTAAACCAGGCGCTGACAGAGTGTGGGTGGGGGCACCAATGCCCACCAGGGCCTGGGACTCTGGCTGCTCTCCAGCAGGGCCCGAGGGACGGTGCAGCTGCTCCCATGCAGGGGCTGGGCCCGTGAGTGGTGGCCAGGGCTGGGCAGGGAGACCCTGTCTACCCTGCACACTCTCTGACCTGCTGAATTTCTCACAAGAATGCACACAACAAAAAACTGGATCAAGAAACTTCTTTTGAAGGCTGGGCGCGGTGGCTCACGCCTGTAATCCTAGCACTCTGGGAGGCTGAGGCGGGCGGATTGTTTGAGCTCAGGAGTTCGAAACTAGCCTGAGCAAGAGCGAGACCCCGTCTCTACTAAAAATAGAAAGAAATTAATCGGACAACTAAAAATATATAGAAAAACTTAGCCGGGCATGGTGGCACATGCCTGTAATCCCAGCTACTCAGGAGGCTGAGGCAGGAGGATTGCTTGAGCCCAGGAGTTTGAGGTTGCTGTGAGCTAGGACGCCACGGCACTCTAGTCCGGGCAAAAGAGTGAGACTCTGTCTCAAAAAAAAAAAAATTTTTTTGAGGCAGGGCGCAGTGGCTCACGCCTGTAATCCTAGCACTCTGGGAGGCCGAGGCAGGTGGATCGCTCAAGGTCAGGAGTTTGAGACCAGCGTGAGCAAGAGCGAGACCCTGTCTCTTCTAAAAATAGAAAGAAATTATCTGGACAACTAAAAAAATACATATATAGAAAAAATTAGCCGAGCATGGTGGCACATGCCCGTAGTCCCAGCTACTCGGGAGGCTGAGGCAGGAGGATCACTTGAGTCCAGGAGTCTGAGGTTGTTGTGAGCTAGGCTGACGCCACAGCACTCTAGCCAGGGCAACAGAACCAGACTCTGTCTCAAAAAAAAAAAAAAAACAAAACCAAAAAACCTTTTTTCTAAACTAACACAAAATTACAACTACCTCTGCAACTCTTCTGTAAGTCTAAGGTTATGTCACAATAAAGTACCAAAAACAAACAAAATTAGAAGTTTCTCATGCTTGGCTTAGTGAGGCAGGGATTGAGGCAAAGGGGCTTGTTCGATTCACACCCTAACTCAATTCCCGTGGGAACCAGCCTTGGTGACACGTGTCATGTCCACACATTACACAAACCTTTTTTTAGCAAGAAAACAACGCTCTTCACAACTAACTTTCAAGGCTCCCTACTGGTGCGTGGTGCTTCCGGCAGGTTTCCCCTCACTTCCCAGACACTGTGTGAGAAGCAGTGACAAGCAGCGCCCAGCCACTTACGGTGTCCAATCCCAAGGAGTGGGCTTCCAGGCCAGTCTGTTCTCGGCCAGGGTCTTCCTCTTCCTGAAAGTAAGTCCACGTCTGCCTGCCCCTCTCATTGCTGAGTCGCCAGCGGCTGAGGTCGGTGGCGGGCTCCGTTTTATAGGGTCCCCCTCTGCGACGCAGACACCTGAGAGCCATCGGGCTGCTGGTCACCAGGTCGGCCTAGCGGCAGCAGTGGCCGCTCAGCGCCCTGCTCCCAGACCACCTGCCCTGGCCCGCCGGCCCTCCTCGGCCTCAGCGCGCCGGGCGTGCGTTGCAGCACCCACTCCCCGCCGCAGCGGCCTCCGGCTGCCCGCGGTCCCGGTCCGGTACCGACCCCGCCGGGACTCTGGCCTGGACCTCCACCCCGGCCACACCCCCGCCCCCGACCCCC